TCTTTGGACTGTTTATGCAAAGTGAATTCAGATCGTTAAACAGACATTGTCACGGGATCACTTGTTTGGACTTCATTTTTATTTGCAATTAACAAATTTAGAAGTTTTGTATATTGTTGAAGAAATTTGCTTTATTGAAAATTGAAGAATAAAAGGATTGACAAAAAAAACGGTGCAATATTTAACACAGCGTACTAATTACATGTTAACAAGTGTTCGCAATAAACAGGATTCTTTTTTAGATAAATGAAAATGCTGATCATTCTGTGCACAGTTCCACTGAACTAAGCAAATTCTTAAAGTGAAATTTTTGAACTGTTGTTGTTGTTTTTTGTCTTTATATGCCAAATTATTGTACAGATTAAAAAGTCTGTTATGTGCAAAAGGGTACAGTTTTTACAGTGTTTCAGATGATAAGTGCAATTTCTAAGTTAAGTATCTTTGAGTTCTGTTTCTTTGTTGTACTTCTTTTCTTGTCATATTACCAATACAATAGAGCAGACAAAACAAGAACTTAAGTTTTTTGTCATAAATAATAGGTAAACTATGATGGTATCACAGTTAGTCATTTTTTGTCGAAGAATATTTAGTTGAACAAACTTATTATTATTTTCCCAAAAAATATAGTGTAATTTTGAACAAAAATTTAACCAATGTTGGTCTGCCTAATTTATTTGCCTCAACTTTAAAAAGCGTTAAAGTAACGTCAATGACAACTGAAATATTGGTAAGGTGACAGTTGTAATAAATTTTGCGCTTTTTTCTTTTAAAAAAAAAAACAAATTTAATTAAAAAGTAAAATTTTTTCTTTTAAAAAAGTAAATTTAAAAAAAATTTAAAAATTAAAAAAGTAAATTTACTGTAATGGAAACCACTAAAAATATTATAATTAGGCTAATTTAAATGTAGTTTCTGTAAAAACCACTAAAAGATACAAAAATTTTCTCTTATTTTAAGTTATTGAATTTGATAACTGATAAGCAAATTTATGCAGCTTTAAGTAGCACTGAACAAAATCATTTTGGTATTTTGACCATCAGTTTGGTAAGATTTTAGGTGTTATTTTTGGCTAAGGGCTTCTTAAAAAGACATAGCAGTTTCTATATAAAAAACTTTGATATATCTGATACTTACGACTAAGTAAGCGTTACAGGTTACCTAAAATTAATAAATCAATTGTTCTCAGGTTTTCTGGAAAACAGAAAACTTTTTTCTTGCAATAAATGACTGTGGTATTTTTTACTTTTTTAATTAAAAAAACAAAATTTTTTTTACAACTTTTTTCTTCTGCTTTAAATTTGAGTTTAAAACTATAACGAGGAACTTTTTGTGAGTTTTCCTTGTATTATAATTTTTGGTAACTAACTGGAGGATTATATGCAAGAATTTTGTGACTTTTTTCTGCCGACTCTTCTGTTGAACAAATTGAAACCAGTTTCAGTGAACAGTTTTGAAAACTACCAAGGAACGTGTTGAGATCATTACTAGTTTATGATGCCTTTTCTTAGGCTGTCATAGTTTGATCATAATCAGTCTGAACTTATTTATGTAATAACAATTTTCTGTTTACCTATTTTGAAACTTAAAATTTTAACTTTGATTAACTGTATTTTTTTTTTTTTTGCAGCTAATATGAATTTTAATTGAAGTTAAAAGTGCTATTTCAAATGTCGTTTATGCTACTTTGCACACATTTAATTCTAGAGAAAATGTTATTTAGAACAAGGCTGTAAATGGCCATTGTTGTCAGCTAATCTTCTCAACAATTTTTAATATTCACTTTGACCGTTAATCACTGTTTTATTTTGTTATAAAAAAAAAAAAAAAA